AAGAGGAATGAACTATGATATACTAATCGACATGGAAGAATCTTAGTCCTGCTGAGTGAAAGATGTCACACACACACAAGGCACAAACTGCATAATTTATATTAAAATTCAAGGGAAATGTAAAATGAAAAGTATAATGACAGAAATCCATTTGAGCCAGTCCTCCAGGACTTTTTTGTGTTGGGTATTTTTGTAGAGAGGGTTTTGTGAACTATTTGCTGGGCTGGCTTTGAACACACGAAGACCCTGGGTTCAGCATCCTGAGTAGCTAGGATTATAGGTGTGAGCCACTGGCAACCTGCCTGACTCACTTCTTATATTCCAGCAGCTTATACATACTTCTAGGAGAGAGATGGGACACTCCTTCTCAAATATTGTGATCTGTTAAATCACAAGCAACGTTTGCTGAGAATTATGGCCTTGTTCTTTAAGCTATGTTACACAAACACATACATAGGATTGGGTCTCATGTTCATATCTACCTCCACATACATGTACATACAAACACCACAGGAACAAAGCAAAACTCACTGAAACAAAACATCAATGGTATATGCAGATTAATTTGAACATGTGGGTGTGGAGGGGAATTCATTTTAGTACTTCTAGGTCTTGATCCTGTTTGGAATTGTAGCGACCTTTCCTTTATGTCCACGTTAAGAACATTTTATTCTTTTCATTGAATTGAGGTTTGAAATATATCTAAAAGATTCTTAATATTGGTGTTAAGGGGAGACTATGCCTAAACTAACAATATCAGGGTTAGAAGAGATAAAAAATATTTTCACAGTTGAGAGAGAGAACAACAATAGATACTTTTAAGGAACAAGCATGGAAGGTTGTGTGTGCTGTGAATGTGCATGTGGTGAGAGTCTGTGTATGTTGTGTGTTCTAAGTGCCTGCATGTGCTGCATTGTGTGTGTTTGCACATTTGTAGGTGTGTGCACGTGTATGAGTGTGATTGCTTGCATGTGTGTGTCTGTGTGTGAGTGTGTGCCTGTGAGTGTGTGCACACTGTGTATATTGTGTGTGCATGTTGTGTGTGTGTGCCTGTGTATGTCCACGTATGCAAGAAGTATCAGCAAAAATAAAGATTGATTTTTAACAAAATTTTACTATGACCTACTAGTTGCAAAACTTTCCAGTTCTGTTGCTAAATACCTCCTATACAAGAAATGCAGGATGGACCTCTTTCCTTCACTGCCTGTGGTTAGCCAGGGCTGCCTGGGAGGCTCCTAATGCTGCCTGGCTAATCCAGCCCCCAAAGGGCGTCTAAGGAGGAGGCAGCTGGCTTCTTTATCCAGGACAGAAGTTTAAAAAAGGGAAGACCTCAGCCCTTGCCATTGTTGGGCAAGGGTCTGCAGCCTGTTTGTATACCCTATTTAAAATGGGGTTTTGGACATTGCTACTGTTAAAAGGATTGACTGGGAAGGAGTTGGCAGGAACAGGGTTGGCAGGACTGGGTGGGGCAGTTTTTCAGATTTGGCTCTGCTTTATAGGTTCATCCATGAGCCTCGCCCCCTTGCTCATGATCCCCATAGAGAAGGGGAAAGTACGGGGCTTGCCCTAGCTTTGGACAGAGAGGACATAGTTGAGGTCTGCTCCTTTCAACGCTTTCCAAACTGCAGCTGCTTCTGCACAACCTCCAGGAGCAAGGCTTGCAGCTTCTCCATTGGCACCTGGTGACTGGTGGCTCTGTCCACACACAGAGTCCCCCTCATTCCCCAGGGCAGGCATGCCTGCTTGAGCCAGGTGCTGGCAACATGCCTTCTGCTTCCTCAGTTTCGGGTGAGTGAGGCACTGAGAAATGCACTATGGTTTTGGGGTGTTAGATAGATCGTCTAGGATGGTGAATGGGCCAAGAGCTTATAACATATTTCACTTTGCCCACTCTATCTCCATCACGGACCAGCCAGGTGGCTCAGTTGGGCCTGCAGCTGCTGGTTTTGCTGGCTGGTGGTTCCAGCTGCTCCTGGTCATCGTCAACTCCTGGCAGGCCATCTCCAAGGCCATCTTGCCTTGCCCTTCTCCAGCTGCAGCTGCTTCCAGGAGCAGGTCTGCCTCAGTGCTGCCCTGCAGTGCCTCCTTGTCGGAGTCAGTGGTTGGTTTAGCGGCCAGGTGCCGCAGCGAGGTGGCCGGGCACGCGTCTTCTGATGGTGACGCGTCTTGTAGGGTATGGTGTCAGGGAAGGGACGCTGGCAGCAACCCAATGTCATCTGCAGATGGAGGTGCGGGTGCACCGCGGTCTTGGGTGCATAATCGGCTGAGCTAACAACCCCAGAGGTGGCTGTCTCAGGTTCTCCTTTTCCTCTTGGCGCCTAGGGAACACCAGGGCTGTCCCTTTGCTTGTTCTCCCTCAGCGTTTCTTGGCCGCAATCAATTTTCCGTCTTACTTCTTTCCGCCATGCCAGTGCTGGGAGGTGTGGGGCCACATCTCCAGGATCCCTAAAACTCACCACAGTTGCCCTCAGCTGGTCAGCACGAGCTGCCTTGGTCAGCATGGCCTGGTGTGAGAAGGGGTGTCAGGGCTTTAGGAGGCGTCATGGGAATGGGGCATGTAAAAATTCTCTCACCCATTGTTGATGAAAAGATGCAGGAAGAGAAAAGGGGGGAGCGGAAAATGCCCTTTAAGCCAGTAGATGGGTAGAGTCACAATGGAGCTGCACAGAAGCAGCCCCTGGACCCAACCGTGCCACCACCTCAGGGAGCCATGAGGGAGGGCGAAGATGAGATGATGGGAAGGACCTGAGGGGTCGGCTCTGTCTGGACATGTACGCAGGTGCTTATAATTGCTCATTTTATTAAATCACCTGGGTATCCCCCATACCAGTCCTCCAGACAGACCTGGCACAGCCCCTCCTTGTGGTCCCTAATCCCGGTAGTGTATGTGACCCTCTCCGCTGATACCATCCAGGTCTCCTCCCAGGTGCTTTCTCCTCCTGCACCGCTTGCTACACCATCCTCTCGAGTGCCCAACCACCTCTCTCTCCCGGATTCTTCTCTAGCACTGAACCAGGAATGACTGAAGTCACCATGGGGCCTTCTGATCCCTTGTTAGTAGGTCTGCGATCCTCCCTACTCCATCCTATAGCCGCACACCCCTGCAGTACTCTTCGAAGGGTCTTCCTCTAGCAGATCTTGTTCTGAGGAACTACAGGTCATTTCTGTATCCCACCCTCCCCCTTCCCTTCTCTTGCCTCCATTCTCAGAAGTGTTATTTGGGTCCTGGAGCTTCTGCCTCCCCAGATGCCTTTACCCTCTCTTTCTCAGTCACTCCTCTACTGCTTTCCCCTCATTCATCTCTTAATTTTATTAACTTGGTCTGCTCCCTCTTTCTTTGGTGACTTGGCTAGGGTTTGTCAATCTTGTTGATCCTTTCAAGGAACCATCTTTGCATTTCATTGATTCTTTGTATTGTTTTTGGCTCCATTTTAATTGACTTTTGTTATTTTTCTTATCTGCCTACTACAGGGTTCAGCTGAGTAACCTAAGTTATTCGTTAAACGATTGTGTTTTCTTTTTTTAAATTTTTATTTATTTATTACTTTGTATTTTTATTATCATTTGTTGTTGTGGGGGTCATCTGTGACATTTATAAAAGTGCTTACAATAGAATCTTTAGTCCAAATTTACCCTCTCCATCATTGTCCTTTATCTACCTCCCTCATTTCCTGGAAGTTTTTCAACAGGTCTTATTTTTCCATTTGCATACATGAGTACATAACATTTCTACCATATTCACCTTTCCTTCACCCTTCCTTATCCTCCCCCTCCCACTGGTGCCACCCCAAAACAAGACCTGTTTTGCCTTCTGTTCTCCCTTTTTGAAAAAAAGAACAACTGTTGATAATAACATAGCTACATGGGGAGTTTCAATTGTGATATTTCCATACATATGTATTATATAATGAAAAATTTGTTCATCCTCTCTATATTTTCTCCTTTTCTACTTAGTTCCCTTTCTTATGGTGATTTCAACAGGTTTAGGATTCTATTTCATTTTGTGTATAGAAAAGTTACATCACCCATGTTCACCTTTTCTTAAACTTTTCTTTTAGACCCTCCCTCCCATTAGTGACTCCCTTAGTGTGACCGGTTTTTCATGATATTGCTTGTATTTGTATTGAGCCTATATTCCCAATATGAGAGAAAGCGTGAGCCTTGGCTTTTAAAAAAAATTTCTTTTATTCATATGTGCATACAATGGTTTGGGGCATTTCTACCCCTTCCACCCCCCCACCCCTTCCCTTTTCCTTCCACCACCTCCCTCTCCCCCCCCACCCCTCGTGCCAGGCAGGAACTATTTTGCCCTTATCTCTAATTTTGTTGAAGAGAGAGTGTAAGCAATACTAGGAAGGACCGAGGGTTTTTGCTAGTTGAGATAAGGATAGCTATACCAAGAATTGACTTGCATTGCTGTCCTGTGCATGTGTGTTACGTTCTAAATTAATTCTTCTCGAACTAACCTTTTCTCTAGTTCCTAGTGCCCTTCTCCTATTGGGCGGTCTGCTTTAAAGTTTCTGCATTAGTTTCTCTGCATTGAGGGCAACAAATGCTATCTAGTTTTTTGGGTATCTTACCAATCCTCATACCTCCCTTGTGTGCTGTAGCTTTATTATGTGATCAAAGTTCAGTCCCCTTGTTGTGTTTACCCTTGATCTAATGTCCGCTTATGAGGGAGAACATACGATTTTTGGTCTTCTGGACCACCTAACCTCGCTCAAATGATGGCCTCCATTTCCAATCATTTACTTGCAAGTGATAAGATTTCATTCTTCTTCATGGCTGCATAAAATTCCATTGTGTATAATTACCACATTTTCTTAATCCATTTGTCAGTAGTGGGGCATCTTGACTGTTTCCATAACTTGGCTATTGTGAATAGTGCTGCATTAATCATGGGTGTGCAGGTGCCTCTGGAGTAACCTGTGTCACATTGTTTTGGGTGTATCTCCAAGAGTGCTATTGCTGGATCATATGGTAGATCTATGTTTAGATTTTTAATAAGCCTCCACATTTTTTTCCGGAGTGGGTGTACTGGTTTGCATTCCCACCAGCAGCATAAAAGGATTCCTTTTTCCCCTGCATCCTCGCCAACACCTGTTGTTGGTGGTGTTGCTAATGATGGCTATTCTAACAGGGGTGAGGTGGAATCTTAGTGTGGTTTTAATTTGCATTTCCTTTATTGCTAGAGATGGTGAGCATGTCTCGTGTTTTTTGGCCATTTGAATTTCTTCTTTTGAGAAAGGTCTATTTAGTTCACTTACCCATTTCTTTATTGGTTCATTAATTTTGGGAGAGTTTAGTTTCTTAAGTTCCCTATATATTCTGGTTATCAGTCCTTTGTCTGATGTGTAGCTGGCAAAAATTTTCTCCCACTCTGTGGGTGTTCTCTTCAGTTTAGAGACCATTTCTTTTGTTGAGCAGAGCTTTTTAGTTTTATGAGTCCCATTTATCTATGCTATCTCTTAGTTGCTGAGCTGCTGGGTTCCATTGAGAAAGTTCTTACCTATACCTACTAATTCCAGAGTATTTCCTACTCTTTCCTGTATCAACTTTAGAGTTGGGTCTGATATTAAGATCCTTGATCCATTTTGAGTTAATCTTGGTATAGGGTGATATACATGGATCTAGTTTCAGTTTTTTGCAGACTGCTAACCAGTTTTCCAGCAGTTTTTGTTGAAGAGGCGTCTTTTCTCCATCGTATATTTTTAGCTCCTTTGTCAAAGACAAGTTGGTTATAGTTGTGTGGCTTCATATCTGGTCCTCTATTCTGTTCCACTGGTCTTCATGTCTGTTTTGTGCCAGTACACACTGTTTTTATTGTTATTGCTTTGTAATATAGTTTGAAGTCAGGTATGTGATACTCCAGCATTGTTCTTTTGACTGAGTATTGCCTTGGCTATTTGTGCTCTCTTGTGTTTCCAAATAAATTTAACAGTAGATTTTTCAATCTCTCTGAGAATGTCATTGGGATTTTGATGGGAATTGCATTAAACATGCAGATTACTTTTGGGAGTATAGACATTTTTACTATGTTGTTTCTACCAATCCATGAGCATGGGAGATGTCTCCACTTTCTATACTCTTCCTCAATCTCTTTCTTCAGGAGTTTATAGTTTTCCTTGTAAAGGTCGTTCACATACTTTGTTAGGTTTACTCCTAGGTATTTGATTTTTTTTTTTTGAGGCTATTGTAGATGGAATTGTTTTCATATATTCTTTCTCAGTTTGTTCATTATTAGTGTATAGAAATGCTATGTTTTCTATGTTTATTTTATATCCTGCTACCTTGCTATAGCTGTTGATGGTGTCTAGGAGCTTTTGAGTAGAGTGTTTTGGGTCTTTAAGGTATAGGATCATATTGTCTGCAAATAGGGATATTTTGACAGTTTCTTTACCTATTTGTATTCCTTTTATTCCTTCTTCTTGCCTAATTGCTCTGGCTAGGAATTCCAGTACTATGTTGAATAGGAGTGGAGATAGTGGGCATCCTTGTCTGGTTCCTGATTTTAGAGGGAATGGTTTCAGTTTTTCTCCATTAAGTATAATGCTGGCTATAGGTTTGTCATATATAGCTTTTATAATGTTGAGGTACTTTCCTTCTATTCCTAGTTTTCTTAGAGCTTTTATCATGAAATGGTGTCAGATCTTACCAAAGGCTTTTTCTGCATCTATTGAGATGATCAAGTGGTTTTTGTCTTTGCTTCTGTTTATGTGGTTTATTATGTTTATTGATTTTTGTATGTTGAACCACCCCTGCATTGCTGGGATGAAGCCAACTTGGTCCTGGTGAATGATCTTTTTGATGTGTTGTTGAATTCGGTTTGCCATTATTTTGTTGAGGATTTTTGCGTCAACATTCATTAAGGAGATTGGCCTATAGTTCTCCTTTTTGGAGGTGTCTTTGCCTGGTTTTGGGATAAGTGTAATACTGGCTTCATAAAATGTGTTTGGTAGTTTTCCTTCCCTTTCTATTTCATGGAACAATTTAAGGAGGGTTGGTATCAGTTCTTTTTTAAAGGTCTGATAGAATTCAGCAGAGAATCCATCAGGTTCTGGACTCTTCTTTTTTGGGAGACTCTTGATTGCTGCTTCAATTTTTTTTTTGTGTTATAGATCTACTCAGGTAATTAATGTCCTCTTAGTTCAGTTTTGGATGATCATAAGTATCTAGAAATCTGTCCATTTCTTCAAGATTTTCAAATTTATTTGAATATAGGTTCTCA